CAAATATGGTAAAACCCCATACATGCCTCTGAGCATCAACAGTATGGCAGGCACCGACGTCTGCCATATCATAAGAAGACGATGCAACCTCCCATGTGCATCTGACATTAACAGTGTTATGGGCGCCTACAATCATCTTGTACCCGACGGCGTGGGCAACAAGACTTAGCATACGTACACTATCCCTCTCTCACTTGTAAGGCCATTCCCTTCATCTATAAAAGGGATGCGCTCTCTCCCAAAAAGGACGATCCCTCAGCTCACCTACATCGATTCAACATACAACAATAGAACCACCGGGTTCAAACCTCGAGCACACGCTCGAACACTTAGCACATAGCGGAGCTCACGCCACTCTCGGCACTTCCGACCAAAGTCCGACCGGACCTCTTGTACCCCCTATCTTTCTCCCTTCCGTTTGTAACCCCACAGCAAACTTCGAGCACCTGGGCTCAGGAATAAAGTCATCGACCGACTCAAACTGGACGTAGGGCACGTTGCCTGAACCAGTATAAACCCTGTGTCATTGAGTGCTAGGCCATATCCGATCACAATGTATGACAAAACTACAAATATTTACGTGTTGGTCACTTTCTGCACCGACATGCCTAGACACAAAAATAGCACTAATATTTAGAAACTTCACGAGGGGTTGTTTTGAAAAAAAACTATCTTCTTCCTCTCATCCAGTCGTGGTCGGCGCTTGCCGCCGCTACGCATGCGTACGCCGCCTCGCCGACGGCGGCGGCGATCACATCGCTGCTTATGCCTGCGATTGCCGCCGCCGCTGCCGTCACGCCGCTGGGCGCGTCTGCAGACATCGGCACTTTGGCGTACTGCCTCACCACCATCGCCGCTATCATTGTCTAGACGGCGACGCATATGGGCCTCGGCTCGCACGGCAACAACTATGGACCTCGTCGGCGCGTACAAGCAGCGCGGCGTCTTTGTGGTCGGTGGGTGGGCGAAGCAGGGCGGGGACCATGGTGGCGCAGACCAAAGACGATCGGCGACGACGACGCTCGGCTACCCCTAAGCGCGCGGCGTGGCTCGCTGGCAGCGTAGCGCTCGGCCTTTGTCCGTCATGGCGCGAACCGACCGGCGGCATTCTCTCATTTGCCAGCCGCTTCCGCTTGCCGATGTGGCAAAGAAGGGCTGCACGATAAGCGGCCCACATGCTCGTCTGGCGAGCTCGCATGCCGACAACGCAGGAGCAAAGACGGATGGAGTTCGTCAAGACGGACTCGCCGCCTCGCCGGCAGTGAAGGCTGCTGCCCAAAACGGAGCGAGGAGCAAGCAGGGTTTTTTTCTCGTCGGCGTGGACTTGCCGGTCTGAGCTCGATGGGGCGGCTTCTCATGGAGGACAGCGGTGCGCAAGTGAGCTGACCATGGTCGTGAGAGAGGTGAGAGATGAGAGATAGAGATGACATGTGGGGCTAAACCCGTTTGGATGTATATGAGACCCAAACAGAGTTTAAGGACCAAAACGACATATTTTATGAGTTCAGGGACCGGGATGATATACCTCTACAAGTTTGAGGACCGGCCATGAACTTTACTCTTTTTTAAGAAAGGCTGCACCAAATTGCGAGGGGGAATCTCGCCGCCATGTACTGTCTGGAGTGAACAGCAGGTGGGGGCGCTGTCTCTCCCACGTGAAGTGGGCCACACCCGCCCTCACCTCGCTGAAGATGCCAAGGAATCCGACCATGGGAGCGTCTTCTTCTTCTCTTCTTGCGCTAAATAAATAAAGCTAAGTGAAGGCAGCTAAAATGAACACAACAAGAAGAAGAGAATATGGCTGAAGCTGAGTAGCTGACTGACCTAAAATATGGTTAGGGAAAAAAACCGGAGGAATGAAATGCCCTAACAGTTGAAATCCTATAGTATTTGAAACAAATAAACATTTTTGGAAGATGCCTTTGGAAACAACGTAAGAATTCTCTAGAGGATTCCTACGTTGATTCCTTTAGGCCTGCTTTGGAACGAAGAAAAAGTGAAGGAATTCTAGAAGATTGGAATGGAATAGGAAAATTTCCTATAAGTCCTTTGGAACAAAGGATTTAGTTAGTTCCTACGAGTCCTATGAAATTCATGTGGAATGTCATGTTTCATAGGAATTTGGAGGAATTTTACAAGAGGTTCAACCTCGTGGGAAATTTTCTTTGTGTACACTCTCTCATCAAATTTTTGTGTCTTTTTCGCACTCCATCCAAGCGTTCAATCTTGTAGTTTTCTTATAGTACTATTCAAGATGTCACGGCATTCTATTGCTATGTTTATCATGTGTTCCAAAGAGACTTGCATGCCCCAATCCATAGGAATTTCAAAGGAATCGTTGGCAAGTATTCTCTTGTACCACAAGATTAGTGGTCTCATAGGAATTTTTCCCATGGGAATTGGATCGTTTAAAATTCTTGTGTTTTCTCTCCGTTGAAATGGTGCCTTGTTACTGAACAGAGTAAATTCAATCCGGATCATGCCATCATACATATCTATGATTACGACCGGGTCGCTGTACGTGAAAGAAGAACAACGGCTGCACTGGATTCTGTTCTAGCCGTCGGCGTCCGTGTGTCTTGTCACCAGAGATTGCACGCACTAGGGGTCAGGATTCCAAAGATCCCAGTCGTCCGTCGGACCCATCCATCTACAACGTGAACAATGATGCACTGCGTGCCAGTGCCATCTAGGAATGTCTACCTATACACATGGATTTGAAGACGAGCAGCCGTATTCATGGACCAGGGCCATGCATGGCTCCTCTGCATCCTCATCCCAGCTGCAGCCAAGCCAGGCTCTCTTCTTCTGCAGATGGTTGCAGAGCGACGACAGCTGAGTCCGCTGCCACCGTCCCACCGCTTGGCCGTCATTACTCCTACTCCTACTCAGCGAAAACGACTCCATCTCCATGCATGTCGTCTGCACGCACAGCACTACATCAGCCTCTTCGATCTCCGTCTCAAGTTGCTCCAAGCATTCTGGTTTTAGCGTACAGTATTTGGTTCTGTTCCGGGGTTAGAGGGTGTTTGGTTCACTCCTCACCTCCTAAATCTAATCTCATTTAATCACCTTTACGCAAACACTATTACTAAACGGGACTAAAAATGCATTAGTCAACTAGTCACCCAAGTATTGTTAAATGGGACTAAAGTCCACCTTTTAATCACCCAGTTAGCTGATCTAGGTGACTACACCTTAGGAGGGGTGAACCAAACATGCCCTCGCAAATCTGGCATTTTCACTCTAGCGTCCTGAGCCCTGTGTACGCCTGGGAATGGATCGTGATCCACTCCTAAACCCACCCCAATCCTAAATACTTTAGCAATAGATCAATTCTGATCCAAACCCTTTTTTATGGAGGATAGTCCGATCCAGCCCTGTTCGTTTTAAATTATACCCTGCTCCAATCCACTCCTATCTAGATCCTCGGGCCCGATCCTTGTACAGTATTAGGGCCTGATCCTTTTACAGTGTACAGATACACACTCGCTGGTTATTGGATCCTTGGACAGTATTAGGGCCTGATCGCTGGTTACAGTGTACAGATACACACTCGCCGGCTGGCGCAGTGCAGTGCAGAGCGCTAGTGCCTGCCTGCATTTCACAAATAAAATATAATATACTAAAGTGGTACCTTGGTTCACTTACGACTCATCACTCAGTACAAGGGTATTGAATCATTACATCTCAGCCTTGCTCAAAGATAAAGCTACCAGTTTCCAACTGCCGAAATACCAGCTGCAATCCTAAATTCAAGAAGAAACTAACTAATATATAGCAAGCAAAGAACGCAAAACAAAGAAGAACACCACAGGTGTTGTGTCAAGTGTCAACCATGCTAAAAAATGACAGCTTGAGTTGTGTCAAGTGTCAACCATGCTCAAAGATGTTCCGTTTAGCAAATGAATCGAATGAGGGCCCCTAGCGTCACAACATTCTCAGATTTGACACGGCGAGATTTGCAGTCTTTTGACAGGCAGTCATCAACAAGCTTCCGCTTCAAACACAGGGAATTGGATTCTTGTGGAGATGCCATGAGAAGCCTTGCTTCTAAGTTCTAACTCCAAACAAATATGGAACAAGAAACTAAGCCCTAATATATACACAAGTTACAGGTCTCCCTTCATATTGACATCTCAGAGGTCCTGTATAAGACAATGAATGAAATTTATCTCAAGCAGAAAACACAGCTCAATATTCTAGAAATTGGCTAAATAATAAATGGAACATTAGTAACAGTGACGCTAGCATTCGTAACACAAAAACTAAGTGGACAAGGAAGATCAATTGCATATAGCAAACATCAATCATGCAAATAAAGGGTCTAATTAAGTTGTTTTTTAAACAATGAATATCACAACATTCCTAGTGAAACAACATTCCTTGTGAACCAATAGCTAGGGCACTAACCTGTCAATCATCTACTTCTTCATCTGATTCAAACATACGATGTCCGGTCATTGGTTGACCTGCATTGAATAAGACAAACATATTAAAACACTATGTAAATAAAATCGGCTTTGCAATATGTATCTGAAATATGACAATCACCTTCTTCTGCATCATTAAAGCCAATCAACCAATCTTTCGCATAGACTAACGCTTCAAGAGTTTCTGGAGAGAGATGTCCTATTTTTACCAAGTATCCTTCCAGCAGCACTAAAAGCAGATTCTGAGGACACTGTGCTAACAGGAATAGACAAGAAGTCTCTGGCCATCAAAGACAAGATAGGATAGGCATCCGTGTTTTTCTTCCACCATGCTAGAACATTAAAGTTCTCTGTCGGTCACACAACTACTCTAGGATCATCCAAATACATATCCAGTTCTGATCTTTCTGAGCGAGTACTCGAGTTTTGTGATGAAAATTGAGCAAATGCAAGCTCTACACGCCGTTTGCCACGAAGTCCAGAAGAACTCGATTCGTCCTGACTTAAAACTTCCTCTTCATATGAAACGAAGACAGGACCTGTGTTGTTCCTCACAACCCTCTCGTACTATAGATAATATTTCTTCAAGTATTGTCTAAGCTCTCTCATCTTCGCTTCCGCTTCTGCATTCTCAACAGTCAAGTAAAAGAACCTGACAAAATCAGCTTTCATTGATGGGTCCAGGACAGCAGCTATGAGAAGTACCATACTAGGCGCAGCCCAGTATTTCTGAAACTTGGTATACATAGCTTCAGCCAACTCATTGAGCAGTTCATTGGTATTCCACGTCTCATCAAGCAATACATCTCGAACTGCCATCAACATCTTCAGAAAGAGGTGGGCCGTTGGATGCCTATCCGTAGAAAATGCTTTTGTAGCCTCACTGAACTGTTCTAGGAATTCGTGAAGCGATTCAGCTTTCTGCCAGTCTTGTTCACTAGGAACATCCTGATACTGCTCTGCTGCGAATCTGTTGAGAGCTGCTTTATATTTCAGAGCTTCATTTAACATGTCATACGTAGCATTCCAGCGGTGGGGAACATCTAGAACCAGCCCCGACTTGCCTTTGAGACCTAATGCCTGAATGATTGAGTTGAATGTTTGCAGACGAGAAGGTGTAGATGTGACAACCTTGATAATGTCTCTTACCCTTCCAACTGCATTTGGTATGACTTGCAATCCAGCTTGGACCATTATATTGAGCACATGAGCGGCACATCCGACATGTATGTGTTCACCCTTAAAGAACATCTGAGCACCTAGAGCAGCACGCAAGACTATATCTTAGCCCTCTTTTTCCCTGACCGGCCTGACTGATCAGTGGAGATAGCATCAAGACTATCCTCAACTTATGCTGCTGTTGCTGATGAAACCCTCTCCATAATACCTATATCACAAGATTATAAGTGCAGTCAGCACAGCTCTAGCAAGCTATTTCTACGGTACACTGAAACAATTGTATAGAAAAAAGCATAGAACTGAAACAACTGTACAGTTTATACAGCTAGCAATACAACTAAAGCAAAATCTGGAATTGATGTTGCAGCATATCACAAGTACAAGTTTATACAATACTATTGTACTGTACTTTTCAGAAAACAGAAAGTCCCATTTACTAGTAACCGTAAAAGTGATATTCACTCATGATACTGGTAACCTGTACGTATTTTTTCTAAATTCTAATCATGCATCCCTGATACTAAAACAAAGCTTGCAAAAAGTGTCAGATGAGGAAATCAGGTTACTGCAACTATGCAGGACCCTACCATGAACTCTAATCTACTTTGTGCAAGGAAGATCAATGTTTCAGGTTCATTACAGTCTCAAATAGATATTAACGACACTTAAAATAACTTATTAACTCTACCGCTATTGGACATTTCACAAGAATATAGGATGAAGATTAGCTCAATGTTTCAGAAGCACTAACAAAGAGGTCTGGATGATGAAAATTGAATGCCACAGTCCACATACAAAGAACATCTACAAAAGAGTACCGATCTGTTGGAGCACATCTACCAAATAGTACCGATCTGTGGTGTCTCTGTCCAAATAATTTTAAGTAGCCATAAGAGCAAAAATGAAAATTTTCTATTTTGAAATGCCGGCACCAGTTTAGTCATCATATTATTTCAGCATCAAGCAACCGGATTTGCATCTAGAATCTAGAAATAACTGATCACTCTATTGATACAATATCTAGTGCAAGACATGAGTTCTCTGCACTTTGCAACTACATTACCGAACTGTGGGAACTGATGATGCAGCTGAACTAATTGTAAGTACTCCGTAGCTGACAATGAAGCCACATCAACAGATCGAAGGAACAATTTCTTATCGGAAGAACAGATCGAAGGAATAACCTTTGGGAGAGGCGCCGGCTCTTCCTACAGGCGGCTGGAGAGGGTCGGCCCTGATTCACGGCGCTTGGCGGATGGAGAGGGGCGACGCTGCTTCCTGGCGGGACGGCTTCTCTTTCCTACATCGGAGGCCCGATCAGCGGCTCGGGGGCCATGAGGAGCGGCAGGTGGGGATCTTGGCGACGGATGGAGAAGAGATGGGGCCCGACGAACTGATGCCCTCAAGCTCTAGCATTGGCGAGTAACGGATCTTGACGAGGAACCATCTCGAATGTAGAATCGCAGCTGCCGCCGCCGCCGCCGCCGCCGCCGCAACCTCCGCCGCCTTGACCCTCAGCTCCGAGGGCCCGCGCCGCCCCTTAGGTCGCGACTAGCGAGGGCTTCAAGAGACGGATCCTTCTCCCGATCCGCGGGCCGGCCCTGTTCTATTATCCGTACATGTTGACTCGAGCCAACTCTAGAATCCAGCCCTTCTACAGCAGAATCCAATCCAAATCGACTTGTTCCATTACACAGCCCTTAAACGATCCATAAAAGAAGGCCCATGAGTTGGGGGCTCTGTTCGGCCCTCGAATTTGTACGATCCATTCCCAGGCGCCCTGTCTGCCTGGTCAGGGCCTACCTCTACTGTACCTACCTCTTCTTCAGTCGGCATCTGCTGCTCCAGCAGTGCATATACTCCTTTACTGTACGTGCCTGAAACGAACCTCATCAGGTCCTTTCCTTTCTGTGATTCTGTCAAGCTGCATGCATGTTCCTGCAATGGTGCCATCTTTGCTTTTTCTTTGCTTTCCCCCCCTGAAACAAACACATGCACACGCACTGCACGTTTCTTTCTGATAAACAGTTCAGCTGCGTTAGGTTGGTTCATTTCTCTATGCCATATATACCATACTGGTACGCGTTGACACTGCTTGCTAAGCTGCGGCGGCGCGGCGCCTCTTTTCTACTCCATCTCCACATCTCCGTGGTGCTTTTGCCGGTCAGCTGCTTCCAAATTCCAATTGAAGGCAGCTGCTAGTGGCCTATAGGACTGAACGGTAGGCTAGCATGCAGTGGCGCGGCAGCTGGAAGGCGTGCCTGCGTGCTTCAGAAAGTTTGTTCCAATGCATGCAGTCCGGCCGTAGCAGAACAAGCTTTTACTTCTTTCTTTTTCTGGGGGACCAGAACAATCAGATTGAAAGTGGTTGTTCGTGTAGAAAGGTACTTTGTGGATCGTCCTCGTCCGGACAACAATTCCAGGCACCCAAATTTGACTCTCTGCGGTTCAAATCTAGGAGTATTGCGTGGCCTAATAAGTACCTTTCTCACGGGCTGCAACGGTGCAACCGAAAAGACCCAACCCAATTTTGTGCAGTTCAGAAGCACACATGGTATACTACTTGTGCAGCAGCAGCAAAGTAGTGCTGCCCACTGCATTGCGTGCATATGTTTGGTTTTTCTCTGGAGCGTGTGACCGTGGAGATTTGATGGCGTTTTCAGGCCTGCAAAGGCCAAATTCAAAGGATCTGTTGGAACGACAAGATCTCTTTTAAGGGCTTGTTTGGCTGCACACAAATCCACCCCAATCCAGCCTAAAGGAGTCTGGAAACACTATGTACTACCTTCCTCAGACGACCCCCCCACACTTATATTCCAGCAAGGAGCTGAGATGGATCGAAATTTTTCTCGTCGCAGGCCGGCGAGGGGCAGTGCACTGCCTCTTCTATCTCTTTGGACTAGTGTACAATATATAACTTTGGTCCTTGGTGACATTGTCCAAATAAAAGCCAATAGACTTTGAAGATTGTATAATAGTAGTACAAATGTGTTGGGTTGGGGATGGACCATATATAGTATAACTATGCTATGGACGTATATAAACTAATAACCTCTCTCTTCTTGCATTGTTTCTAGGTCAAACATTGTTTACAGGGAAGACTGTTCAGGATAAGCTATTTCTTGTTAACGGGGGAGGTGAGGTTTGTTATGTGATGAACTTGGATGTGAAGAGGGCCAAGTTCAAGGGAAATAATGTAGCCTTTTCTTGTGAACGTACGGGGGAGGTGTGGTTGGGTTGGGGTTGGGGATGAACTTGCATTACTAATCCAAGTTAATTAAGTAGCTGCAATATATGCATATGCCTTGTATTCAGCTCTCGATGTAAATAAGAGGAATGAACATGGATGCTAAAATGGTTAAGTACAGGATGAATGCATGCAGCCTTAATATAGTATATATTCGTTAGGTAACCGCCACTTTCATTCCAAGTTGTTTAGATTATTTACTTCACATATGCATGGTATTATCCATTTATTTGTAGCATCACGCATGCACAGCTTACAGAAAGGAGCTCCTTGCTGGATATTGATTCATTATTCACTTCATCACTCAGCAAGAAATTGAAGTCGTTTCAGAGACAGGCATCTTGAAAAGACGATATATCTAAATGAAGAAACCAAGAATAATGCTAAGATAAACAAACAAGAGGACCTCACATGTGTCATTACTAGCAGGCAATTAACAAGGAGCAGCTTACGTCCTGTTCGCTTGAACTTATCAGCTTATCAGTTATGGAATATTTTTTTTTTCTCTCACAACAAATCAGCTTCAGCCGGCTTTGCATTACTTAAGATTTTTTTATTCCTACTCTCATATATTAGTACATAGTAGTACTAGTGATATCGGATTCCAGAAGTAGTATATATAATGTAAACGAAAAAATGTGCCAATAAGCTTGGTCAAGGTGCGAGATTTCTTTCTTGATGCATGTAATAAATTAATTAAAACAAGTCATGATGATGATATACTGTAGTTCATCACCTTCGTTCTTACAGCATGAATGAATAAGAATTCGCTGGCCATGGATCGAATCTCAACAAGATATTCTCGTGATTCTAGTCTACAAAAACTCTAAGGGCTCATTTGGATCTTGGAATTGAATTCATTCTAATAATTATAATTTAAACATAGATTAATTAAGCTAATATAGTTATATATGAAATATATTTGTATATTTATTGTTAGACATATAAGGGACGTACTTATATGTTGCATTTTTATTATAGAGAAGTGAGTTGAAGAGTATGCTATAAGTTGGAGAGTAGAATTATAGTAAAGTGATCTATAGAATTTATTTCCATCTCCCACCCTATGAATTTGAGATATGTTTATTTATAAGTTTAGGAAAGTTATGGAATGTCAAATTCTAATTCAAATAGCGTAATCTATTATGTAGATTTTAATTTCTCCAAAACTAACGAATCAAACGGCCCCTAAGCTATCTCCTTGTCGCTGTGCAGAATCTCGTATCGAGATCATCTGTTTAATTAATTAATAACAATCCAGTAAGCATATGGAAGCGTCCGGGTCAACACAACCATGCATCCGAAATTCCAAGGAGAGAATGACGACTCAAATGGTTTCTAAAGGACACTTCAACTGTTCGAACGAAGAGACATTTGTGATTTGTGTCTCGGATCCTCCAGACTCCGATCGGGGAGCATGTGAGTGACCAAGGGTAGCTTCCACACTGGAAGATTCTGATTCTCGGGGCAGCTGGGGGCCAATCAGAAAGAGATAATTCCTTATTTGACATCAGATAGATGATCCGTTTTTTTATTGGTCCTCAAAAATTTTTCGTTCCCTATTTGACATCGAATTCAACTTTCATTCCTTATACGACACTCCGTTGGATTTTTCATCCGTGAACCGTTAGTTGCCATGTGAAAAGACGATTTTGGCCCTGTGGGCCCCACCACCCTTCTCCCCTTCTCCCTCCTTCTCGGCTGGGGAGTGGCCCCGCGACGGCGGCGCTTGGACGGGGCGCATCCGCGCGTGGAGGTGGTGGCGGCGTGCGGTAGGGGCGAGCTCGCGCCGCGGCGGCGCATCTGCGATGGTGGCGCGTCCGCGCGGAGATGAGGACCAAGGATGCGAGCTTGATGACGCTCGGCCGGGGCGCATCCCCACGGCGGCGGCGCCTCTGCGATGGTGGCGCATCCCTGCCGTGACGATGACGACGCCCGCGCCATCGCGCAAGAGTCGATCCACGTCCCCACCGTGACAACGACGATGCCCAACTCGCCTCCTGCTGCTCCAGTTCCTGGACGACCTGAGCACGAGTAGGAGGACGCCGTGGAGCACGCGGACTCCGCCCCCCGTGACGACGACGGTGGCATTGGCGGCTCAGGCCTGCCGTTGAAGATGGCGTTGAGGAACCCGCGAGCCGCGCTCCGAGGGACGCCGGCCTCCTTGGCAGCCTTCTTCTCCGGCGCGGGCTCGGACTTCGCGGCGGCGGCGACGCTCGTGCGTATGAACCGTAGGTGCTATGCCGCTATTGCTGCTCCGTCGAGACGAGAGCCCGCCATAGCTGGAGCACTCGGAGAGTCGGAGAAGCTCGACGTGGTGGCACCGTGCGGCCCTGGAGCCGCCGCCGCCGCCTTGCTGCCACGATAGCTCCTCGCCAGCCATGGGCGGATACAGAGGGTATTCCCCGTATTCCCAAGAATACCCAACTATTTTAGCACACTTCTATGTATATATGTGTATATACTTGTATATGTATATGTATATGTATAATGCCATATTTTGTAGTATTTTCACTCATTGAAGCCCAAAACAGTAAGAAAACAGCCTCTCAAATTGGCTCATATTTTGTAGTATTTTCACTCATTGCAGTTAAAAACAACTTATTTTTTTTATTGACATGGAAGTAGGAATACCCAAGTTTGGAATCCTGGCTCCGCCACTGTCGCCAGCAAAACTGTAGTGCAAGTGCTCAATTCAACGGGCTCGGGGTCAACCCCGACGTACATGAGGCCGCCGGCAAGGAGGAGCTCGCCGGGTGGTGATCGCCGCTCGTGAGAGAAAGGCTCCTCGGGGGCTCCACAGCAACAAGTGCTGCGCTCCTCTTACTTGCAAACGTGGCAGCTGTAGGATCCAACATGTCCGGCTAGATGTGGAGGAAAGTTACGACGTGACTTACGAGCAAAGTTACTGAATCTGTGTCCGGGCGCGGACAGGAGTGAGAAAGGGAGGAGAGGAGGGAGAAGGGTGGTGGGGCCCACAGGGGCAAAATCACCTTTTCACATGGCAGTTAACGGTTCACGGATGAAAAATCTAACGGAATGTCGTATAAGGAATGAAAGATGAACTCGGTATCAAATAGAGAACGGAAATTTTTTGAGGGCCAAGAAAGGAACGGGTCATTTGTCTGGTGTTAAATAAGAAATTCTCTCAATCAGAAACCAGTGGCAATTAGTGGACCCGACGATTTGAAATTTAGCAGACTAGTCTCCATCAGATAATACCTTTTCTCCCTGTGTCACTTAAGTCCAACACCTTTCAAAGTGTATGTTTGGGTCCTTAAACTTATTATGACGTGCACCGGAGGTCCATACCTCTTTGTTTATGTTGTCTTTTTACAGAAACCTTCCTCTATTTCTTTTTCTTTCACATGCACATCCCTCCCGTCGTCCAGCTCTCCTCCGCACGCGCTCATTGGCTCATCGGCCATGCCCTAGCTCGCTGGAGAGGCTGTTGGCAGTGGTGGCGCACGCCTACCTGGACACGAGGCCGTGGTCCACGAGGATGGCAACGGAGCAGGGCACGTACTGCAGCACGCTCCGGTTGATGGAGCGGATGGCGTTGTTCGGCGTGCTCCGCGCATCGTGACAGGTCACTACAAGAACCCCCACCCCTCTAGATACGATTTATTTCTATGTTAGATACGCTTTATATCATCTCTAGTGAAGTGTAGAGATGCTTAAGTAAAGCGTGTCTGGAGCGTCTCCA